TATTTTAGTTGTTTTATGCCACGTTTAGCTTTTAGCTAAGGTTGTCAAAATATTAGGTTTTATCAGCAGTTTTGCCAATTATAGCTTTAAACTACTGTTTTGCTGATTTTAGCTAAACCTTTACTAATTTTATAATTTTTTTTATGTTTTATCAGCAGTTTTGCCAATTATAGCTTTAAACTACTGTTTTGCTGATTTTAACTAAACCTTTACTAATTTTATAATTTTTTTTATTTGGTACCTTCTATTTTGCCAATTTTACCTTTTGACTGTAGTTTTGCTAATTTTCACTTTTAGCTATGGGTTTGCCAACTTTACCAACAGTTTTACCGTTTTTGTGTTTTGGCTTCAGTGATGCTAATTTACGCTCCTTTTTAGGTTGTAGCTATGGTATTATAAATTTAATCTTTTAACTGTAGTTTTGCTAATTTTAGCTCTTTTTGACAAATTTAGCTTATAGCTAAGGTCGTCAAATTATTAGGTTTTATCTGTAGTTTTGGTAGTTTTTCTGATTTTAGCTACACCTTTGCTAATGTCAGCATTAATATTTTAGCCAGTTTWACCTTTTAACTGCAGTTTTAAAAGTTTTCAGCAAAAGATTTGCAAGTTTTAGCTCTTGTTGTGCTTGTTTGAACCTAAAAACTTCAACAGTCCTGAAGCATTCATGTCCATTCATCCATCCATCCATCTCCAACACTCAGGGGTATGTTTTCTGTCTGTGGGAGGAACCCGGAGAACCTGGTGAAAACCCACTTGTTCATGAGGACATGTAAACTACACGTACCAGTTTCTTCATTGTCTTCAGTCTCTCCGATGGGTTTTCCATCCGATTGGCGTCGATGAAGTCYTTGTACTTGTCTGCTCAGATGTTGGGAGGAATATAAATGTGATTTAGGTGGATCTAATTTAAAGGAACAACGTGRGGCGGCGGCTTGAACACGTTTGGACTCACCGTTGGTGAAGAGCGGCTCCGGGAGCTTTCTGAAGAAGGATTTGAGTAAACTGCTGACAACGTTCAGGTCCTGCCACTTCTGCAGAGGGACAAACACACAAAACACTTTCCTTTACTTTCTGTACCTGATYAAACAGTTGTTCGTCAACGAAATAACTCAGGCGCGTCCTCACCTCCTCTGCAGGGTTGATGTCCACACCTTTGTTGAGCTGCTCCTGAAGCAGCGACACCATGGCGTTGTTCCCTGGCACCCGGTAGATCCCGGTGTACTCCAGGCCCATCTCCTCCACCAAACCGCAGCAGAACTCAACGATCATCGGGACGAACTGGGAAAACGAGGCGGACATCATGAARGTAAAGCACGGACGCTGCGAAGGGACAAGCGCAGACAGACACCTGTCTCTAACCTTGTTATTGACACCCGGCTGACATTCCTCCAGCCTCACACCAAACGCTTTGGGCCCGGCCTTCTTCGTCTTCTTTATGATGTTAATTCCCCACGGCGACTTTGGAGGGCTGCTTTCATCTGTGAACAAACAGCTGAGTCAAACCTCTGTGCTGCCTTTCAGGGTGTCACAGTCAGGACATCTCTTTTTCTGTAATGCACCTTTGCCTTCTTGTTTCGGGGAGCGCGGCGCTCCGGATGCATTTTCCGTTTTGTTCATCAGGAACGGCGGCATCATGCGATGCATCCGAGGAGACGAATCCGGCTTGTTGGACGTCGGACTGCAGAGGGAGAAGGAAACACAACAAAAGGACTTTTTTAAAAAACTACTTATCTAAACCAACTGAACTCAGGTTCTGGTGCAGAACAAGACCATATAAAGACTCATTTTCTCCGTTGTCTCAGAAAATATCAAACTTAAAAAAATTTACAAGATTAAACCATGTCAAATCATAATTATTAACCTGACATAACTTATAAAATGTCTATAAATGTTGTGTTAAAAGAAAGATGAAGAAATTAAAACTGATTTGTTAAAAGAAGCAAAATGCAAGCTAAAATATTTGTTATAGTATTAGCTCCCAAGCTAATAGATGTTTATATGACATTATAGCATTAGCTCCCAAGCTAATAGATATTTATATGACATTATAGCATTAGCTCCCAAGTTAATTAATATTTATATGGCATTATAGCATTAGCTCCCAAGCTAATAGATGTTTATATGGCATTATAGNTATGACATTATAGCATTAGCTCCCAAGTTAATTAATATTTATATGGCATTATAGCATTAGCTCCCAAGCTAATAGATGTTTATATGGCATTATAGCATTAGCTCCCAAGCTAATACATGTTTATATGGCATTATAGCATTAGCTCCCAAGCTAATAGATGTTTATATGGCATTATAGCATTAGCTCCCAAGCTAATAGATGTTTATATAACATTATAGCATTAGCTCCCAAGCTAATAGATATTTATATGACATTATAGCATTAGCTCCCTAGTTAGTAGATATTTAGCTTTATCTCCCAAGCTAACAGATATTTATATGACATTATAGCATTAGCTCCCAAACTAATACATTTATGGCATTATAGCATTAGCTCTCAAGCTAATACATATATGACGATACAGCACTAGCTTTCAAGCTAATAGATATAATGTCTATAGGGCAATATGGCGTTAGCGCCTGAGCTACTAATATTAGCTTGGGAGCTAATGCCAAATATTTATTAGTATTAATTAATGAATTAATTAATATGGCATTTGTTCCTGAACTAATGGGAACTAACGCTATATTACCATACATATGTAGTGCATGCGATGCTTTGGCGATCTCGTGAAAGCTAACAGGCTAAGCTGAGGTTCTCTGTTGTCTTCCATCATCATTTCAGTTCCAAGTTGAGTCATTTCTTCATTCTCTTGTCTTTCAAGGCGCTCCAGTTAATTTAAAAGGGCTGTTCGTCAGGTATTGTCCAAAATTAAAACTTCAAGCTGGACAAATCTCACACCGGCMCACAGAGCACCTCACAAACGTCACCATTTACCTATTACGCTTTACGGCAGAAATTATACGGTGCTATCCGTGTGACGATATATGTTTTTACAATCTATAMAAACTAAARYGCCTACAGTATTTTTATTGTCTTGTTTTTATAGTRGAAGTCAATGTTTTTTAAATATTGTCTAATGTTACAACTAGTCGGATTTCCTTTTAAGGAATTAGAAGATTTTATCGTATATCTATAGTGAAAATATTTACTTACAGAGTCTAAAAGCACTCATCTACTGAATGAGCCCAACGTTTTGATGTACAAACGGCTAGAACAYTAAAAAGTAGTGAGCTAACTGACCTCTGTTTCCTGTAGTCGTTCAGCTTCTTATTGATGAGGGCTTGTCTGGAAAAACCGAGTTCCTGTAGGAAGCAAACACYTCTGCATTAGAATTAGGTGAAGGTTTTGTGGTGGTCCGACAGATGAAGGTGCYTCCTCTGACCTCGCTGTCCATCTTGCTGCCCTCCCTGATGACCTTGATCCACTCCAGCATGTCGTCCCTGTCCTCCGCCTGCAGCAGGTACTCGCAGAAGTCCTGCGTGGTCAGCCGCAGGGCGTGCTTCCTCTTGGTCTCGCTGTAGGCGATGTCCACCAGGCAGCCTCGGATGCTGACCTGATGCTCGTCCTCAGCGGCGCCTCCCATCGTGGTGCCGCCYAACACCGCCTCCCTCTTGTCCTTGTAGAAGACCAACGAGTGGGAGCGGAGAACCGAGTAGACCCGCTTCCACGGCCACATGCCACTGCCGACTTTCTGTAAACCAGGAGAAACACGATGTAAACGATCCGCGTAAAAAAAAGGGGGGGGGGGGCTCCCTCCTTGTTCCGAGGTGCACAAAGGAGCGTTATCGCAGATCCTTCCTCCCAGCTGCTGTCAGACTCTATAACCAGCACCACACCCAAAAATCACAATAAGCYTTTACACATTTGCTGCTGCCCACACAATCATTTGTACTGCTATTATTKATTGTCATTACTCATCTGAASAATTATTTGCTCTGTTATTACCCATTTTAACCTTTAAAATAATTCTGCTGTAATTGCACATCTGTGTTTCTTGTCTGCACTGTCATACTTCACATCAGAGATTCTTAACCCACGGGCCGCAATCGCCACCTTGAGGGCCTCAAAAGAACAGTTTTTAACTTTAGGTCGCAGAGGGCCGTGGGACCACATTGATTTTAAATAAGTTGCAATACACATTGTCACTACTAGTAGCAGTAGTGCGCCACTCAGATGTTTAACAACTTTTTAAATACGTAGTAGAAGAACCTTAGAAACCTGCTGAGAACGGAAACTTATTTTAAATGAAAAAGTAGAAGCAAAAATTACAGTAACCCATCAAAAAATGCCAAAGTTTGTCACTAATATGAAGTGCAGCTTCTGGTATTACCACGCAATATTTTAAAAGTTCAAAACATTATCAAATACAGTTGCAGATACAACTACAGTGGTTTGCAAAAGTATTCATACC